CCGGCTCACCCAGGCTGCGTACGCCTTCCCTCAGCCACAACTAGGCACCCGTCCATGGGTTATATACCATCATAATCACAGCACTCTCAACGAGGTAGCCACAAATACACTACTTACATACGACGTATTAAACTTACATCCTCGTTCTTTTCTCTCTTTTTGACCATTTCTTGAGCCCGCTGGTTCGAGACTCGCACAAGGTTAACCAGCACTCGCCGTCCGTATTTTGCTTCTCTTTTTATTCCTCCTCCATGCATACACAAACACTCAGCGTCCCTTTCTAGTGGCCTGCCTCTTTTCACTCCAGTTGCATATTGATTCGCTGGCTTTTTTGGGTCTGCCGTCAAAGCAGTGCTTGCATGTTATTTTTATGCTCAGCTAATGCAACCACACTCCCAATCATCACATTCACTACACTGTTGAAGCAAAAAATGTGGTTTTGAAGATCATTCATCTTTTATTCATTGGTGAATGTGCACCAACCGCCTATGTGATCAAGCCTGTACCCTAGGATGAGATATGGAAGAATGCAGAAAGTAGCATTGAATGCCCGAGAGGTCAACTTCGTGGTCGACGTCGGGATATATATACTGAAAAACGAATATGTTCATAGCATCATGGTGGTAAATAGTCCACCGAACACAGATCCCCTGGCCCAGACACCTACGACTCAAAGCTGGCAATAGCAGCGCAGAAGTTGTTGCGGTTGTCCGAGTCGGTGGCAGCAATCTGGCCGTTGAGCCTTACCATGTTGACGGCAGCCTTGGTGCTGACGCCGTAGAGGTGAGCGCTCGAGTTCTCAATGTTGATCATGTGGTCCTGGCAGTTGTTGAGGCCAACACAGACCTGGTCGTAGTTGTTGAAGAAGCTGTACAGGCCACCACCAAAGAGGAAGATGTCCTCGGAGTCGTGGATGCGCATGCCCCAGGTGCGATGGCACGTGGAGGAGCCGTCGCACTCGCTAAAGTCGGGGTCGAAGTAGGCCGCGTTGGGCGAGAAGGGAACCAGAGAGTCGGGGTTACCCTGGTAGTAGGCCGTCTCGGTCTGGATGAGAGCCATGTAGACGTTGGCAGCGTTGCTGATCTGGTAGTTGACCAGGGTGTTGTGCTCAGAAGCAGTTCCCCACAGCCAGGCGCCCTTGGTGCTCTCAATCAGGATGCCGCGGCCGTTGTAGATGTTGATCTGGTTGAAGTCGTCGCGGTCGAGCTCGTGGTCCGAGACCCAGAGCCAGTTGTTCTCCATGTAGATGCTGGCCTCCTTGGTGACGTGCATGAGCATGAAGGAGCCGATGCACTCAGGGTTCACCGAGGTGGGGACCTCGGGGGTCTTGGAGCAGCGGTCAGACTGGAGGAGAGTGCCGGCAGAGCCACCGACGCGGAAGTGGACGTCGAAGAGGGCGGCAGAACCCTTGGTCTGGCCCTCGACGTTGAACTCCATCAGGATGGCACCAGGCTGAGGGCCGCGAGTCTCGAACATGAGGTCCTGCATCTCAATGTTGCCGACATCACCAGGCTGGCCGACCTGCCAGACAGGCTTGGGGTTGGCCTGGTCCTGGAAGTTGGTGTTGCCGCCAGCCATGATGAGAGGCCAGATCTCACCGACGACCTTGACGTTGGCGGGGACACGGACAGTGTCGGTGATGACGTAGGCACCGTGGTCAAAATAGACAACCTCGTCAGCGCCGATGCTGTCAAAGACGGCCTGGATGGCGGCGGTATCATCCGTCTCACCGTCTCCTACAGCACCGCGAGACTTGACGGAGACGAAGCGAGAGGCGGGAATATCGGCGTACTGAGGCTTGCTGCGAGCCACAACGCGACCATTGTCGTCGAGGAGAGCGGCGGGCTTGGCCACGGCATCACGAGCCTGTTGGACAGCGTTGCCACCATCGGCGCCGTTGTAGGCACGGCCCTGGACCCAGGAGATGACGGCGTTGCCGGTGAGGAGATCGGCCTGAGTTCCACCATTGCGGACCGCAACGGGGACATTCTGAGACATGTCGACGTTGTCGAGGATGATGGTGCCGTTGGTGCCAGACTGCTCGGGGTTGTAGAGGGTAGCAACGCCGACGGGAGTGTTTGCAATGGTACTGTCGAGAACCAGGAGAGAACCGGCGGTCTGAATGCCACTCTCGCCGCCAGCAGTCATGTCGATACCGATATCGCAGTTGTTGATGGAGATGCCGTGGAAGGTCCAGACCCAGTTCCAGTTCATGAAGATGGCGGTGCGGCAGTTGTTGAAGCGGAGGTTGCGGGTGGTGAACTGCTGGTTGCCGACCCACATGCCAAACTTTCCACCGTTGAAGGTGAGGTCGGTCATGAAGCCGCCGGAGCCGTTCTCCATGAAGATGCCCTGCTGGACATTGGCGTCGCTCTTGTCCTCGACCATGTTGAACTCGATGTTCTGAAGCGAGGTGGCCTGGGCGACCTGCCAGTGGATACCGGTACCGGTGGTCATGGGCAGGCCGGTGAGATCAATCTTGAAGTTGCGGACCTGGCGGAAGAAGTTGTTCTGGTTGGTGAACCAGTTGTTGCCCTGGTCATCGTACGGGTTGGCGTCGATGACGGCCATGCCCTGGAAGATAGGGGCGGCGCGGAGAGTGGGAGGGTTGATGAGGTCACCGACCATGTGGGTATAGTAGTAGGGAATGATGGGTCGGGAGACGAGGTAAGTTCCGGGAGGGAAGTAGACGAGAGCAGGTGTGTTGGTGGAGGAGTCGCAGCCAAAGCCGCAGCGGTTTCCGTCGGTGATGGCGGCGTTGATGGCCTCGGTATCGTCAGTGGTACCATCGCCACGGGCGCCATAGTCCATGACATTGCGGAAGACCTTGTGGTCGGCGGCGCCATAGGCAGCTACGCCCTGGCGCTCAATGTTGGCGAACCACCATTCGGAAGCAGCCGCGCTGGGAGCATCGGCCTGGGGAAGAGGTTGGGGCTCGGGCGCGGGGGCCGCAGCGGAGAGAGAAAAGAGGCGCAAGGCCAAGAGCGACGTGGTGAGAATGGTCGAGAGGCCCATGGTGAAGATGAAGCACCAGCTAACTGGTTTTCCTCGGGTCTGAAAGGAATGTAGATGGTGAGTCTGGTAACAAGTCAGCGTTTGTATATGGGATGATCCGAACGGGGAGTGGCCACGTTGACAACGGTCGAGGTGGTGAGGGTGTTGAACGGAACTATCCGCGAGCCCACGAGGGCTGAAGATGTACGTACTCAATGAACTGGATGTGTAATTGAAGGGAATGAAGGTGGCGGAACAGAAAGGAGAGACGAGGTGGGCTGCGGGGGATTTATGTACAAGAGAGGAGCGAGGGCATTGGAGGCATTGCAGACAGGGCAGTAGGTGAATGAAAAGAGTGTCAAGGAGTGTCAAGGAGCGGCAGCAGTTGGCGAGAAAGAGGTGATTGTGATGGCAGTGATGGTGGTGAATAACGATCGGCCCGTGTCACGCGCGGTGGAGGCAGCTTGTGCTTCCCCACGGGGCCAGGGAGTAGTGAAGCCGAGCAGAGGGCAAGCCAGTGGCAGCTGCTTGTTTGGGGTAGAGCGAGAACTTGCTCGTCTTCTGTGACGGGGTCATATGAGGACATCCACACATGCGGCAACGTTGCAGTGCGAATCAAATCAAGCCTCAAGGTTGTTTGTGCAGTGTTTGCGTACCGACCTACCTCGAAGTTGAAGGAGAGGTTACCTCGTGGGTCTCTGGGCGAGTGAATGAATGGGCGCGGCCAACAAGGCAATATGTAAACGAAGGGAACAAGGGAGCCGCTCGATCTCGCGAGGCGGACGGTGGGAAAACAATAATAATATCACAAGAGAATGTTGACGCTGATCGCACGCAGACCAAGGAATGAGAGGCAGAGCCGCACCGAGAGTGAGGAGGGAGGAGGGACAAGAAGACGACGATGGGCTATGCGAGTGTCTTATAACGAGGGACAAGAGGACGATGATAATTAAAATTATACACACCTTGCTCCTGCCAGCCGTAGCCGTCGCCGTAGCCGTAGCCGTCGCCGTGGTGGCATGCTGGCCGTAGCCGCCACACGATGGTGGAGCCATTGTCTACCAGAGGGATAATAGGCCAGCGAGGATTTGTTTCAAACGAGCCTAGCAATGGACCAGAGTCTGAGGGTTTGGCGATTCCACGTAGGCGCAATGCATCGGACGAGGGGGCAGCGTCAGGGGTGACCAAGCAGGAAGGCATAAAATAAAATAAAAAAGGAGCGACTGGTCCAGCGAGCGAGCAAGGCACGGGGGAGGGATGGCGTTGCCGGATGAAGCAGGGATCCAGACGGAGCATAGGATCATGGGTCCCGTCCAGAGTTATATGGTGGCCATGGTGTTGATGGTGATGGTTTCTCTGGCTTGTTTCGTTTGGCAGCGCAGGAACCGGCATGAGTGGCTACGGGCCGATCGAGAGCCTCCAGCGCTGGCTTAGCGCAGTTTCACTAGCGAGCTCCCCACCCCTCCCACTCCCCGGCGGTACCTGACAGCCCCTTGCACGACCTACGGAGCATTACTGGAATGCCGTAATTAGAAGGTTAGGTGGAAGCCCGCGCACCGTCGGCATTGACAGTGTTTAATTACCTCGAGCGCCACGGGCAAGTCGTGCCCCATCTGCCGATTCAACATGAGCAAAAGGGAGAATGTGCTGTAGATGGACACGCAGAATACAGTCATCTGTGGTCCACGTGTTGCCTCGCGTCCATCACATGAAGCGCAACCTCAGCAAAGAAGATGACCATGTGCCATCAGCTTAGAACAGCAAGGTCAGCGTTCAGAAGGTCAGCGTACAGAAGGTCAGTGGATCGAAAGTCAGAAGCTATGCGGGGTGCATCATCTTCCAAGCCGCCGACGGACCGTGCCAATGAATAGCGTAAACATAAGCCAAGCTGTCCATTAACCATGGTTGGCCATTCCAAGCATGCGATGATGCCCAACACTACTCCCCCCGCACCCACAACCCAGCCTCATAGCCCATTAAAATTCGCCCTCCGTCAACAAACACTCGGTCTGGTGGTCTAGTGGTATGATTCTCGCTTAGGGCCTTACCCTATAGCACGCTTGCGAGAGGTCCCGGGTTCAATCCCCGGCCAGACCCCTTTCTTTTTGCTCCATATTGTGATGGACATGATGTTTTGGGTTGCTCTTTTGGCGGTTGGGAGCGAAGTGTTTGGTGTCGACGCTGGTGTGCTGCTGTGTGCTGTGATACAGGTGACGTAGTTTGGCCATAAAATATGAACTTTGCCCTTATTGGGCCTGTATTTTATTTAACTGGTTATTAATTTTCTCTTTGCGTGCCTTGTATTTTCCCACAGTATAATTTCTTGGCTATATGTTGATAATGTGGTTCATGTTGGGTTGATGGAGTCGGTATTATGATGCCTCTTCCCATTCTTTTTATTTTTTATTATTTTTTTAACCTCCAAAGAAACGTTACTATGTGATCGCCAGCAGGCTTCCCCAGGTGCCTGGCGATCGAAGCGAGGGCCCGCTGACGCGCCACAGACCAGATGCATCACAAGCTGCCCCATCCATCACAGGGGCATTTCTCCTTTGACCTTGTTAAAAAAAAAAAGAAGGACAGGAAACAGCCGCTTGATCTCCCCGCCTGCAATCTTCCCCAAACTTGCGCCCCTCATTCCCACTTCCTGGACGCCCCTGGTCTTCCAATCCTCAAACAATGGCATGGCCCTGACAGGGGCCTCGTCGTCCAATCACATATTCCCCCGAGACGCAAACTCATGCCCTTCCCATCAACGTGCCACCGATGGATGGGGTGATCTTGTCCATGCGTTGAGGGCTCGTGCAAGCCGCCTCGGCCCTTAGCTCCTGTACTTTCACGTTTCTCCATCGCCCCAAGTCAAACATGTCCACGGTATTGATAGAATAAGGTCCTGTTGCAGTGGTAGGCACCTTATTGGCTAGCCTCCTTTTGCGAGGGGGTCGGGGATATATTGAGCCATCCTCTGCCTCATCCAATTTACACGTCTGATCACATGTACGATATGGCAACCTCTCCCTTCCAACCCTCATACCAATTGCAGCATGTTACGCCTTTGCATGTGATGAACTGCCTTCTCGGGCCCAGCTCGGCCAAATCCAGGCCAGCAAGTCAAGCTCCCTCAACCCTCAACCCTGCTGACCCCAGAATCACCAGGTGCCCATCACCCGCCCGTCGATCACATCCCCAATAGTGAGCCCGCCTCCGTCCACAGACCCGCCCGTAGGAATTTTGCGCCAGTAAACCGGCTGCCTAAGTTAGAGGCGCCGAAGGCATCTCCGGCTTCCAACTTCCACATCAGGCGTGGCACAGCCTACCGTCATCAACTCTGATTGAACCCGCATGAACCACCGGGGTACAATGCTCGGTTGCATGGTTGTTGACAAGGGTAAGGTCCTGTTTCGATTAACCTTTTTTAAAATGGAAAGCAAATTTGATGAGGTAGGCGGCGGTGACGGGAAGAGGTTTGATAGTCGCTGAGGAGAAGCTGAACAGCGAACTACCATCCTCTTCTAGGTTGGCCAAGATGCCTCCCGCATAGACAAATTAGCCATCTCCAGTTCAACAGCTACCATAGAAGATCTTGCTAGACTAAATAAAAGAAGAAAAATTGCTATTTACTTGTCGTACTATCATGCCCGTCCTTTGTTTTGATATGCGAACAAGACGGTGAGACTGTAACTATGCAAGTTGATTTTCGTCGAGCCAGAGTCAAGTTAAATAACCGATGGCTGCCTAATATGTTGCCGATGGATGAACCATCAACATGTCTTCTAACCGTCTTCTGACAGCTAGACCACATCTCTATCACCATTCCAAGGCCGTGTCACGAACCCACGATGCATAACGATTGTGAGTAACCGACCGCTATTAATAGAACTACCAGCTCCTGCTCTTCTCAAACGGGGTCTCTTAGTCCAACAAGCCAATGAGCCAGTAAAGAAAAAGAAGTAGGATAGTTTCCGAGTCCATGACTCTCCAGGCTTATAAAAAGACTTCTCCTGGATAGCGTGTATATCAACACGAGAGGTAGTTCCCTTCACCCCCAGCAGTATCATTGGCCGTCATTTTCAATGCTCCTACCTCGGAGCCCACACTGATGACAACTTCCAGCCCCCGCAACCATTAGATCTTCTCAGTTAACAAGATGCACAGCTGTATTGGCCTGTTATATTGCTTGACAACAACTTCACCCATTCAACACCCGCCAACGGGCTCTTGTACCCTTTCCGCAGTTCAATATCGTGTCACGATAGAAACCGTCTCTTCGAAGTGGATGACTTGTACGGAAGCACTGTTCTCTAGCGGAGGATGAAAAACGGCCATCCCGGAAATTGTGCTCTACTTAGATAGGCAACAGTCCATGAATCTTGTACAATTTATCTGTGTACTGAACATACACCTATAATCGAGAGCGAGTCTCTCGGAAATGTGTGGATGGTAGGCCCTGCTTCTGTGTTGGTGACGTGATATCGCCTCTCCTCCCCACGACATGGCCGAATTACAATACCACCTGGACATTCAAAACACCTCTGGATTTGTTGGAGGAGCAACATCAGCCAGGAGACTTAAGATGATTGGGATGTACCAAGTAAGATGTTAAGTTCACAGTGCATTTTCCTCCAGTCACCAGTATATCAACCCCAGATGATATCATCTTACCATGGCTAGGGGGACAATTATACACCTAACAATGGTGTTCCAACAAGAACCTCGGCCGTTTAAACGGAATACTGAAACCAAGAGCTAGGCCTACTCCTCCGACCAGTTCAGGCTACCAGACGCCGAATCAGAACATCGGCGTCAAGGGTGGTCGAACAAGAACATATTATCCCATCTCTGAGAACAAGATCGCCGCTCCGACTCTATGAAACCACCTCTCATCGGGAATATTCCCTGTAAAAGCTGCACAGACACATTACGCGTCAGTCTTTGAGGCATGCCCAAGAGCCCGACCGGAATTTCTTTGTCCTGCCTTAACAAGCTGAACAATGACGGTGCTTGATAACATTGACACCGCCAGGTGGCTGTCAGTCACACCAAATACCAGCAAAGCATAAGAATAATATTTATTTCTCGGTAGACACCCAAGAGAAGAGGATGAGGGGAAAGTTAAACCAAAGCCTGTCTATGTGCTCTATAAACTCCAAGTGCTATGCTCATAACGCATGTTTGTAGATGTGGGAAAATGGCAGCCAGCGCAAACTCCTTCCGGAACGCACAATCCCAAAACCAGAGAAGCCAAAATGTACATGCGCTGTGTAATCCCCCAGAACTCTAATTGGGCGCCTGCTGTCCAAGACGTAACCCTCCGTTTATGCCAAGATGACACCCCGCCCTCCCAGCCTGTCCACCTGACATATTTCCGTACAGCTTTCGACTCGAGTTCCAATGGAACGTCACCATCGGACTCATGTCGGCGGCGGATGCATTCGCACCAGACACTGACTTGTTCACTGCTCTGCCAAAGTCGCAGTCCGCCTAGATGAAGTTGCCTCGGCCAACGAGCGGATCCTCGCTCTCCAAGGTCTCGATGCCCTCGATGTCGGCACCAAAATCCATAATCAGGATCTTGGGATGCTGTCCCGTGCTCACGATTCGTCTGTAGTCGCTCTTGGCGCTCAGCACCCAGCTCTGGTGCCATCGCGGGAAGTCGAGCAGCTGGTGGCCCGTCTCCATGTCCCATACCTTGATGTCCCTGTCGTAGCTGCCGCTAATGAGCCGTCCGCTGACACTGTCGATGTGCAGGCTGCGCACCAGGTTCTCGTGCGCGCACATTTCCTGGATGCACTCGCCTGTGTTGGCGTCCCAGATCCGAATCACCTTGTCGTTGCCGGCCGACGCCACGTACCGCCCGTCCTCGGAGAACTGCGAGCACGCGAGACCCTTGGTATGACCAGGGAACTCGCGGATGTTCTTGCCGGTGTCAATGTTCCACAGCTTGACTCGGAAATCTCCTGAGCACGACACGATCGTGTTACCGCGCATCTGGACCGCGTTGACCGGGCCAGTGTGACCGCGCAGCTGTCGAAGAAGCGCGCCAGTAGCCCGATCCCAAACGCAGATGCTAATGTCCTTGCTGCACGTCACGATGTGCTTGTCGTCGAACGCCAGATCCAGAACTGCGGCTGTGTGATGTTGCAGCCGTCGGATGGGCTTGTAGCCATTCCGGATGTCGTAGACGATGCAGGTAGCGTCTGACGACCCTGTCACCAGAATCTCGTCGTCGTACTGCAAGCACAGAATAGACGCCTTATGATGAGTGCTGAAGCTCGCAGGAATCGGCATGGACGGTGCACTGTGTTCACCATCAGGACCAGTGGCGTAGTGAATGGGGTTGCCGTCCTCGTCCGTAAGGATATCGCTCTTGTTGACCACCTCTGGGGGTCCGATGACCATGCGACAAGCCAGGGTGTGCATATCCCACACGCGAATTGTCTTATCACGAGACCCGGTAATGATTTTGTGCCTGTAGATTGTCAGTCTCCCCCAGAGACGTATGGGAAGCATTTCAACTTACTCATCAAACTGGAGACAGTATATGCTGTCGGTGTGACCGTTAAGATAAACTGGGCGAGCCTTGCCATCTCGCCATCGGTTGTGAAGCTCTTGCTTGATGCGATAAATCTGGCGCCAGTCATTGGCCGGGTGCACTCTGGGAAAGCCGAGACCCGTGCCGGGGCTGATGGGGCCGCTCGTGGCGTACGTCTTGCCCATCTCTCTCAAGCACGACTCCCTCCAGACATGCTGGTTGCCAACACTCTTATTCCAGGCTCTCGACACGGCGCATGCCTTGCCCAGAGTGGCGGCATCAAGGTACTCCAGGACGTGGATGGCGAGCTCGGCGGGTAGCTTGGCAATAAAGTCGACACGGCTGATGCTTGCCTCCTGGATCCCGGCGGAATCGCCATCGACAGACTCCACCTCGAGCCCGTGGATGGACACATTGATGCCGATGCCGCTCTCACGATCATTTCCGTCCTCGCTAGATGGCGTGTGAAGCCACTTGTTCTGCAAGGCCTGACGTGCGAGGAACTCGTTTTGGAAAGCAGCCGCAGCCTTGGCAGCACCGCCGCCGTGATAAGGGATAACGGGCG